AGTGATGGGGCTGAGGATGGGCAGAAGGGGCTCCCGCCGGTGCCAGCCCCTGCTAATGCGCCGATGGTCGGTAAGTGGCTGCCTATTGATGAGGTGTCCAGCTAAAGAGTTGGCGAGACACTAAATCAGCCCATTGATCCTGCTGAGATCGATGGTGCTACAGACCTGATCACTGCAGTGGGCAATTAACACCCTCTGGAATGAGCTGCCTTCATGTAACATCAAACGCTCCAACAGACAAATCCAATGCGCCCATTGACCCCAGCACGTCTGAGGAGGGGAAGAGGCAGTAGGATCCCCAGCTGGCCTTGCCATCCTTCTCCCACATGATGGGAACCCGGGTACCCCTTAAGGACCCCCTGCGGGATGCTCACCTGTGGATGCTGCATCCCCTGGATCCCACTGGCAGACACGCAGTCCTCAGCCTTCCCTGCACTAGGAAGCTGTCCTGCACCCAACCCAACCCTTCATGCAACTCAGAGGTCCTTTTCCCCTGGAAGCAGAGGCTGCCCATGCTGGAGGAAAGATCCAGGTTCTCTCTCTGCACTCTTGCTCCTCTGGGAAGTTCTGCACAGGAAAAAGTTCTAGGCATCTGACAGGAGTCTGGATTTTCCTCTTTAAAAATATATATATTTAAAAAATCAATAAATCTGAACCTAATCTACTTAATAAAGGCTTAATGAGGACATAATGTTGATGGAACAGAACATTGTTGCAGCGTAATCGCTCCCAGCTGCCGCGCGAGTGTGCACACAAAGGCCCGGCGACGATTTCCCCATTATTTTACCAGCGCCTTTGTCTGGGCCAAGCACCAGCCAGGGTTGTATGTCCCTCCTCCCAGGAATGCTGCATCCAACGCAGAACCAATGCTCTCCCCAAAAAACACCCTGCAAGATCTATGCAGGGGGAGGTCTCTGGGACCTTCACCAGGACCCTGGGGTGGGCACACAACCCTCCAAAACCCACCGGGACCTCCAGGTACAGCAATGAGCCGAGCCTCTACACCAGCATGCCCAGCACATGCCATCCATCTCTGGAGAAAAATAAGGGATGCTCTGCTCCCAGTGACTCCTACTGTGCTGTAATTAACATTTAACTGCCCTGTAACACCCAGGTAGGGGGGTGCAGCACCTGGGGCACATGAGGACACTGGCAGCACCCACCGGGCCCCGCAGTGACTTGCCGCAGCAGGAGCAGGCGCTGCCGCTAATGTAGTCGGTAAATAAATAGAGGAGGGCTTAAGCTCAGTGCCGAGCAATCAGTCGGGAGCCTCGGGATAATTAACGCGGCGGGGGGCGGCTGGCTCCGCGGGCAGCTTTAAACCAATGGCTTCACTTTCATCCAGGTGAGCCCACTCCCTGCCCGCAGGGACATGGACATCCCAGGGACACCCCCATCCACCAGGGTGGGATTGGGGATGGGACTCCCCAGACTCACCGCCATGGACCCGGGCGCACCGCTGGGACGCATCCCTCCTCCTCCTCCCAGCAGGCACGGGCACGGGAACAGGAGACAGCAGGCCGAGACAATGGAATTAACTTTATTCGTTGTTTTTTTTTGTTTTCTAACTGCAGATTCAAGGTATACAACTGAACATTGCTATTTTTCTTATGAGACTTATAAATAAAAATACAAAAAATGTTCACTACAAAAAAATCTACTGTTAGTAGGATGTAAAAAATATTCTCTTTGCTATAGAAGGCACGAACTTCACTTAGTGACACATGGAGAGAAAAAAACCTGCAGCAGTATATTCTTCTTTTTTTTGTTTGTCTTTTCCTCTGTCAGAAACACTGAAATCTTACAAAGAAATGCATCTGAATCTACACAGGACGAAGGCAGATGCAGAGAGCTGCAACTAGGAGACACCACAACTGGGGTTGGGTTTGGATTTTTTTGTTGTTTTTTGGGGGTTTTTTTTGTCTTTTTTTAAAATTATTTTTTTTCAGGAAACTTTTAGCTAACGGCATCTGTGGCTAGAGGACAGAGAGAACTTGCAAGCAGAACCGCAGGGGAGGGAAGGGCGAGGGGAGAGAGGAAGTAATACAAAAAAGAAAATAAAATAGGAGCCAATAGATACTCTGAGGAACCGAGGGGGAACTTGGGCACCTTCTGGGAGGTGCTGAGGTAGACGGAACGAGGACAGTGAAGGACCTGAACCACGAGCGGCAACACAGGGCGAGGGGACGGCGGGTGGGCGCTCACGACACCGACACGAGGCGGGGAGAAGGGCCCTGCGCCCCGCCGGGCGCTTGGTCCTCACGGCAAGCTTACACATATATATACTTACATATATATATATATATATATGGCGGGGCAGCGGGGGCTGTGCCACAGCAAATGGCTGCGGGGACACGCGGGACCTCACTCCGGCACCGGGAGGCCGCGGCACTTCCGCAGAGAGGGATGGGAGGTTAAAGCAAAAAAAGCCACATGAGCTCAGCTGTGTGCTCCACAGCCAGCAGCCACCGCGCACGCACCAGAAATTGCAGCAACTTTCCGTGTGAAAGAACTATTTTTTGTTGTTTTGTTTTTTAAATTTTTTTTTCCTTTTTTTTTTTTTTCCTCCTTAGGCACAACAATTAAACAAGCCGTTCTCCACAGTCACTTCCTGGATTGTACAACTTACACAGAGCAGCAAGGGGCACACGTTCGTGTGAAGCTGGAGCAGGCTGCACTGGAGGATGCCACCCCTGCATCTCCACTTGGCTCTGGGAGAGGTGGGATGGGCTGTGCCAGGACCCCCAGCCCAGGGGGCTATTGGCATCCTCCAACCTGTACCCAGGCACCATCCTATGACCCCCAACTCTTTCTCACCCCCGTTTTCACCCAAACGCAACAAAATGACAAAAAAAAAAAAGCCGCAGGCACTGCACGGGACAGCAACGGCCCCGCTCCCGCGGAAAGAGAAACACAACAAAAACAAACACAAGAGGTAGCTTCAGAAACAAAGCCCCTGGCCCCGCAGGGCTGGGCAAAAAATACCAGTTTTGGTAAAGGATAATGCACAATGGGAGGCTAGCAGGGAATGGGCCGCCGCGCCGACCTTCCACTGCCCCTTGTTCCCCCCAAATCAATAAAAGCTCATGAGGTCACAAAAAACCGAGGTAATTTCAAGTAAAATGTGCTAAACGCGGAAATACTCCAAAAGAAAGTTAAAAAAATTCAAACAAAAAGCAAAAAAACCAAACCAGCGAGCAAAGCCACCTGCCACTGGGCACCCCTCGCTTATGGGCTGGGAAAAACACCAGGCACCTCCCAAGTGCCCCAAACGAGCTCCCCCACTGGAAACGAAGCTGCACTCCGGCACTGACCGTGCATCACCAAACCAACCACACCTCCCACAGGGGCTTCACCCTCTACCCAGGAAGGTGGGCAGGAAGGAAATGCATAGAGAGGCCTTTGGTTGGGGCAGGGCAGTGTCACCTTTGGGTGCCCCTCGTGCTCATCTGGACACTGGCAGCACTGCCAGCACCCTGGCTGCC